GGAGTTCATGGTGGTTTGGACCAAGGCGATGACAGTATAGGTGGTGAGAAGTGGCTGAACTCAGAAATATATATATATTTTTTACATAATTAAAAAAAAAATTGCCGTCAAGTCCATTCTGACTCATGGCTACCACATGTGTTTCAGAGTAGAACTGTGCTCCATAGAGTTTTCTCTTTTTAAAAAAAATTTTTATTGTTGTTGAGAATATACACAGCAAAACATACACCAATTCAACCATTTCTACATGTACAATTAAATGACATGGATTACATTCTTTGAGTTATATAACCATTCTCACCCTCCTCTGAGTTTTTTCTCCCTCATTAACATAAACTCACTGCCCCTTAAGTTTCCTATCTAATCTTTCAAGTTGCTGTAGTCACTTTGATCCCATATAGTTCTTACAATGGCATAATGCTCAAGGCAGACATTTTTTACTAGTTAAGCTAAACTGTAGTTTTTATTTATTTTTTAATTAAATTTTACTTTTGTTGTTGAGAATGTACACTGCAAAACATATACCAGTTCATCAGTTTCTACAGAAATATTTCAAAGGTAGAACTGACAGGACTTATTGACAGATTGCATGTGGGGTGTGAGAGGAAAAGGGGAAGCAAGTTCCAGATTTTTGGCCTGAGTCATTGGACAGAAGAGTTGTCATTGAGATGAGGAAGAGTATGGGAGGAAGAGGTTTGAGGGTTTTGCCAAGTACGCCAGTGGATTTGAGGGTCTGAAGTCCAAGGGTGAGGCTCCTACTAAAGACACAAATCTGGGATTGTCAACAAATAGATGATATTCAAAGCCATGAGACGGCATGAGATAATGAGATGAAAGGCCTGAGCCATGGAACACAGATGGTTAGAGGTTGATGAGTGGAGAAGGAGCCAACAAAGGAGGCTGAGAAAGAGCAGTCAGAGAGGTAGGAGGAACATCAGGCAGGTGTAATGTCCTGGAAGCCAAGGGCAGACAGTGAAGGAAGGAAGAGTGATCAGCTGTGTCAGATGCTGCCAATAGGTCATGTAAGAATAGGACTGAGAATTCATTGTTGGATTTAGTAATGTGGAGGTCTCTGGAGATCTTGATAACAGTAGCTTCAGTATTACATTCCTTCTGTTCCAGGTAACATTTCAGAGGTTTCCATTACTACTTCCTATGTAAGATTGAGGTAAAATACCTGTTAAGTACTTGTCCAGAACAACTTTGTTGTTTTTAGGTGCTGTCGAGTCAATTCTGACTCTAGTGACCCTATGTACAACAGAACAAAACACTGCCTGGTCCTGCGCCATCCTCACAATCATTGCTATGCTTGAGCTCGTCGCTGCAGCCACTATGTCAGTCCATCTCGTTGAGGGTCTTCCTCTCTTTCACTGACCCTCTGCTTTACCAAGCGTGATGTCCTTCTCTAGGGACTGGTCCCTTCTGATAACACGTCCAAAGTACATGAAATGAAGTCTTGCCATCCTCGCTTCTAAGGAGCATTCTGGCTGTACTTCTTCCGAGACAGATTTGTTTGTTTTTCTGGCAGTCCATCGTATATTCAATATTATTTGCGAACATCATGATTCAAAGGCATCAATTCTTCTTTGATCTTCCCTTATTGATTGTTCAGCCCTCCCATGCATATGAGGCGATTGAAAATACCATGGCTTGGGTCAGGCGCACGTTAGTTCCCAAAGTGATATCTTTGCCTATTAACACTTTAAAGATGTCTTTTGCAGCAGATTTGCCCAATGCAACATGTTGTTTGATTTCTTGACTGCTGCTTCGAGAACAACTAGCCACCTTAAATCTTTTGGAAACTGGATATATCTTATGTTGTTGTTGTTGGCTGCCATTAAGTCGGCCCCCAACTCATGGTGACCCCATGCACAGTGAAATGAAATGCTGCCTGTCCTGCACCATCCCCCTGATTGGCTGTGGATCAGACTGCTGTGATCCATAGGGTTTTCACTGTCTGATTTTTTAGAAGTAGAGCACCAGGCTTTTCTTCCTAATCTATCTTAATCTGGAAGCTCCAGTGAAACCTGTTTAGCATCATAGCAACATGTAGCCTCCACTGACAGACAGGTGGTGGCTGCACATGAGGTTTCTTGGCCTTGTAAATAAGGCCCATTCTGTTTTTGTTTGTTTTCAGCTAAAATTTTGAAAAAATAAAATTAATTGTTTGATGTTAGGTATGGAAAATATCAAAACCAATATCACTTAGCTGTAGCGACAATTAATTCTCATAAAGGGTTTCCATTTTTAGAGGCCAGCCCTGGTGGCACAGTGGTTAAAGTGTTCGTGTGTTAATCGAAAGGTCAGTGGTTCGAACCCACCACCTGCTCCACCAGCCACTCTGCAGGAGAAAGATGTGGCAGTTTGCTTCCGCAAAGATTACAGCCGTGGAAACCCTATGGGGAAGTTCTGCTGTGTCCCGTATGGTCATTGTGAGTCACAGTCGACACAATGGCAATGGTTTAAAAGTTTTTTTTTTTAGTTTTAGAGGATTTCCTGGATAGTACATACGCCTAAGTGCTTGACTGCTAGCTGAAAAGTTGGCAGTTCGAACCCACCCAGAGATGCCTTGGAAGACAGGCCTGGCGATCTGCTTCTGAAAAATCACAGCCTTGAAAACCCTGTGGAACAGTTCTACTCTGCACACATGGGGTAGCCATGAGTTGGAATCGACCCCAGGGCAACTAACAACAACAACACGGTAAGTTGATAGCCATGTTTTAAGGCTGAACAACTCTTCAAAATCGGAAATCAGGGGGAGAGATCAGATACTACAAATAAAATGAGAAAAGGTATTGATATTGAATAGAATAGGAATTTTATAGTATTTTTAGAGTAGCAGTTCTCAAGTGTGGTCCTTGGACCACTGGAAGCCCCTGAGACTCTTAGGGTTTTACAAGGTCAAAACTATTTTCATAATAACACCAATAAGTTATTTGCCTTTTTCACTGTGATCACATTTGCACTTTATAGTACAAAAGCAAAGGTGAGTAAAACTGTTAGCACCTTAGCCTGAATCAAGGTAGTGCCACCACATTGTTCTGTAGTTATCGTATTCCTCACCGTAATACACTCTCAGTCAAAAGAAAAGAAAAAGGCAGTTTCACTTAAGAGTGTCCTTGATGAAGCTGTAAAATTGTTAGTTTTATTAAATCTTGATGCTTGAGCACATCTTTTTAATATTTTGTATGATGAAATGGGAAGTTCACTTAAAGCATTTCTGCTTGCATACTGAAGTATAATGGTTGCCTTGAAAAAAAGTATTTGTGTGTTTGAATTACACAGTAAATTAGTTGCTTTTTTTTGAAATACTGTTTTCACTTGAAAGAACAGCTAACAGACAAATGAAAAGAGCAGTGCGATGGATTGCTTTTGTGTGGGCTTTCTCACCATGGTCTTGTAACTCCCAGGAAATGATTGGGTGGGACCATGCAAGTAAGGTATATGGAACCCTGACGAGGGGATTGGTCAGTTTGCCACCCCGCTAGGCTTAAAACAAGCCAACTGAGAGGCGGGGAGAAGAGGATCTCACCATTACCAAGAAGAAGAACCAAGAACAGAATGCGTCCTTTCGACCTGGGATCCCGGCTCTGAGAAGCTCCTGGAACCAGGAGACCGAGAGAGAAAGAAGGGGTGGGGGAGAGCTGCAACACTGAAGACGGTGAGAAGTGGTGGCAGAGAAACGGTGGCTAGAGAGACCGGCAGGAGATGGCGAGGTGGGCTTCCCGGCCCATGGAGCTAGAGCTGAGTGCCTTTGGGCCAAGGCTTATTGGTGGAGTGAGGTGCCTCTGGGCACTCATTGGCAGAATTGAAAGAGCTTTGTAACACTTGCCCAGGTAGGGCAGAGGCTGAGGGCCAGAGAGAGGCATGCCTGCAGGCATGGCTGGGAAGAGGCTGTCCTGATGGAAGAACTGTATCCTGAGCGTTCCTCAGCCTGAATTGTGACCTATTACTTCCCTAATAAATCTCATAATCATGAATATTGTCTGTGAGTTCTGTGTGGCCCTTGCAATGAATTATCAAAACTAAGCAGAGAAGCAGTACCATGGGAGGGAAGATTGATGTTAGGATTGATAACGATGGTGGAGAGAGGAGGTATGTCTGACCTCTGCCTTATAGCAATCAGCCTTGGGTTGTTGATCTGGAGGCTTTCCCCCTCATGAAGTAAGAGGAGGTCAGATGCCTCCCCCATGCCATTCTTACAAACAGACAAAGGGAAGTTATTAGATCTAGATATGTGTCAGACATTTCTTGAAAATTAATGAAATGAGCCTGTCACCTCAAGGAGAACAACTGACAGTATTTGTTGCAATGATAAAATACAAATTTTTAAAGTTAAGGTTAGTATTTTGGATTACTTATATCTACCACCAAGAGCTTGACAGCTTCTCAATACTTAAGAGTTGTCTGATGAGTTTAGTGGTAACATTAATAAATGTTATTTTTTGATATTATATAGTGAAATCTGTCAACAGTTGGATTATCTACATAACTTAATGAACCAATACTTTCCAAATGACAAGTGATGATGGTATAAAATCATCTGTGAGTTCAGAGTGGAAGATAGACTTCTTTTAGCCAAAATAAATGACAGGGACTGGATTTACTCTCCTGCCTGAAATAAACACCAGACAAAATACATGAAAAAAACAGTTTTTAAGACAGTGGACATCAGACAGTGAAGGAGAGTGAGCCCTGAGAGACGGGAAACAAGTGAAGAGAGCCCTACATTTGCTCCAGTGTACAACCTTGAGAGCATTTTCTCTAGACTTTGATATAGCAGTCTTATGTCCTTCTTAGGCTAGCCAAGACCTGTTCAGGTCCAATAGCCATTACAGGACAGACAAACAAACACTCTGCCTTAAGTAGCATGGCCACAGTTGCTTGGACGTTTGTATTTTCTTGCTTCTGTCTCTTTAAGCTCAGTATTAACATTGAGTTCAGTTCCCCTGTCGTTGTAGCAGATATTCTGTAAACCCACGGTTGTGTTTGTTTTGCAGTTTCATGGTGATGACATGGCATCTGCCAGCCCCAGCCGGGCAGGAGTGGCCCTGCCTTTTGAGAAGTCTCAGCTTACTTTGAAAGGTGAGTGACACCATGTGAAGTGTTTATCATTTGAGGTCTCAGCCTAATCTCTGGGGAGGAGGTGGAATTATGCCACATCTTGGTCTGGAGAGCCAAATTTTGGGAAGTAACTTAAGAGTGTAACCATTCGTTTTCATGTTAGTGTTGTTAGGTGCTGTTAAGTCAATTTTCAACTCAAAGCAACCCCATGTGACAGAGTAGAACTGCTCAATAGGGTTTTCTTGGCTGTGGCACAGTGGTTAAGCGCTCAGCTGCTAACCAACAAGTTGGCGGTTCAAACTTACCAGCCGCTCCTGAGGGAGAAAAATGTTGCCTTCTGCTTCCATAAGAATTAAACTGCTGATTGAACTGCCGATCTTTTGGTTAGCAGCCAGCTCTTAACCACTGCGCCACCAGGGCTTCTTGTAGGATTACAGCCTTGGAAATCCTATGGGGCAGTTCTACTCTGTCTTGTAGGGTTGCTATGCATTGGAATCGACTCCACGGCAACCGGTAATCTTTATGGAAGAAGATCGCCAGGTCTTTTTCGTGCAGAGCCACTGGATAGATTTGAACCACCAGCCTTTCAGTTAGCTATCGAGCACTTAACCGTTGTGCCACCAGTGTTCCTTATTTACTCCCATCGGATTGTCGTATTATAGGTGAAATTCTTGAAGAAAAAGGAGAAAGAGGAACTTTTGGCTAAAAATGTCTAAAACGGTTATTCATGCCCCAAGGCTCAGTCCTTGGACCTCTTTTCCATCTACACTCGCTACCTTGATGAGCTTATCCAACCTCATGGATTTAAGTACCATTAATATACAGATCACTCTCAAATTTATTTCTCAGCCTGGGCCTGTCCTCTGAACTTCTGATTTATATATCCAATAGCCATCTTGTCATCTCTACTTGAATGTTTAGTAAACAGCTAAAATTTGTCTACAATTGAGATCTTGGATTCATTTCTTTCTCACATCCTATATCTAACCCATAGGCAAATTTGGTTTGCTTTATCTTCAGAATGTATCCAGTGTTCAGCCACTTCTCACCACCCCACTCCCCCAGCCTTGTCTAAGCCGCTGTCATCTCTAGCTTGGATTAAGGCAGTAGCCTCCTGTGTCCGTGCTGTTCCCCTTTGCCCTTATTCAGCCTGTTGGCCACACAGCAGCCAGCAATCTTGTTAAAACGTAAGCCAGCTCTTGTCACTCCTCTGCTCAGACCCGTCAAGGTTCTCCATCTTACTCAGAGAAAAAGCCAAAGAGCCCACATGGTATGACCCTTCATTTCTCATCTCTTGTTATTCTTCCACATTTACTCTGCTCAACTGTGCGGGCCTCCTTGTGGTTAATTGCATTCACTGGGCAACATCCTGCCTCTGGGCCTTTGCACTTGCTATTCCCTCTGAATGAAATGTGTTTAGCCTAAATATCTACCTGACTTGCTCCCTCACTTTCCTGGGTCTTTATTTAAGAGTGTGCTATCTAAAAATTGCTCCTACCCCGTGACTCCTTCACATCTGTCCCTTTCTCTGTTCTGTTTTTCTCCTCAGTCCTTGTCACTGTTTAGCGTACTTTATTTTATTTCATTTATTGAAGATTTTCTTCAGCAGAATTAAGCCCCACAAAGACAGGGATTTTTCTGTTTTGGTCACTGTTGATACCCCAACAACTAGAACAGTGCCTGACATACAGTGAGCCCTCAGTAAATATTGCTGAAATGAAAGAATGTTGTCCCAGTAGCCGCAGCTCTACAGAAGAGTCATGGGATTGAGCAAATGCTCAGGGTGAGTGGCAGCCATCAGTATCTAACCTCAGGACTTTAAACCTGGTCATTTGGAGGCAGAATTATGTTTCCTCAAATTTATTTCTCATGATTATTTTTGGAAAGTAATTGTTGTTTGTGTAGTTCAAAGGTCTCTCCTTGCTTCCAGCTCGCAGTGTCCCAGCTTAGAGGAAACCAATAGTATAAGTTTCTTGTGTATCTCTTCCAAGATGCTTTATACATATACTAGTACGTACGTATAAATAACAAAGTAACACACTCTACACACTATAATGCTGTACACCGTTCTGCCCCTTTATTCATTTATTATCTCTTGAGGACTATTTTATAAAATACAAAAATACAGAAGAGTATCCTCATTCTTTTTTTTTTGGTATGTCTGTTTAGTATTCTATTGTATGGATGTACAAACATGCCTTTAGCTAACCCTCTATGGATGATTAGGGCAAAGAGTACTGTAGTGAATAGTCTTGAACACACACCGTGTTGCATATATGTGAGAATATGCCTAAGGTAAATTCCTGAAAGTGGAAGTGCTGGGTCAGAGAGGATGTGATTTGAGAGCCCACTGCCTTCCTTTGAAGGAGTTCTCCTTCTCAGCAGTGTGTACTGGTGCCTGTCTCTCCACACCTTTACCAGCACAGTTTGTTGTCAGACTTAACAAAAATCTTTGTCAGTTTGATTGGTAAAGGATTATTTTCCTAGTGTAGTTTTATTTTGCATTTCTCTGTAACGATTTTTAGCATCTTATCGTTCGTTTAAGGGCAATCTGTATTTCCTTTTTCTGTGGATTGCCTCGTCATATCCTTTGCCTGTTTCTTATTGAGTTAATTTTTTTTTTTTTTTTTTGTAGTCTGGAAACATTTTAATTATTTTTCTTGGAGTTTCATGTCTGCTCTAGCCCTTTTGAGTAGGGAGATGGTTTAGAGTGTAACTGATAGGGTTTTGGGCTCGGGACAGTACACTTTACTACCTTACTTAATAATTGGCAAGCCTGGGTCAAAACAGAAGCCTTCCCATGGAACCTGGTGACATCCTGAGGTCCCTGTTTTGGTACCATATTATCTAGGGGCACACACCGACTTCTAAAGGCTTTTCTGTTGTGTTTCCTCAGAGTGTGAATTTTCTTACTAATGCAGAAGGAGCCATCTTGGTAGTATAGTGACGTCTCATTATATAGGCGTTTAACTTACAGGGATTCAATAATCCCATCTAGGTAGAGGGCGAGGGTAGGGGAGAGAAAGAGAGAAATAATTGAAATATTGTGGGTGATTCTTCTTCCTGAGCATTTCATTCTTGGAGCCTGTAGTGTAATGTGGGAGGTGTTACTGTGCCATTCTCTGTTTGCCTCAGCTCCCTTGTGCCTTTCCGTAGTATGATCCTAGAGTTTCAGGATACAGATTTTTTTTTCTTTCAAAGACATCAAGGCCCTTAAACATAAGCCAGCTATTTTATCTGATGTTAAACTCAAGAAACACTGAAAAACACTGACAAACTGAACACTGAAAAACGCAACACAGCAAAAAACTGGCTGTTTGAAACCTGTTGAAAGACAATCTGCCAGACTCTATGGCGGTGCCTTCCTAAGAGCTTTTCAAGGGTGTAATTTTGGCCATGTGTGAGTTTTGCCTTATTTATTGTTTTTAAAAGCTAAATCTTATGTAAAAGTGTGACTCCAGGTATAGGAAACTGACAATTATATTTCATCAAACAGTAAATGAACTTCCCAGATAAATTTGTTCTTACGTTGATGCCTTTATTTTGGTTGTCTTTTAAGGACAAGAAGCATTCAAAAATTACAGATCAACTACAGATTACAGAAGGGAAAATACATCTTTATAGTGGAGAGATACGGCAGACCCCCCATTAACCAAGGGATTAAATTTAGCATCACCCATAGGAGCAATCAATTTGACGGCAGCTAGCAACAACAAAATTATAACTGGTGTAAAACCAAAAACCTGTTGCCATCTAGTCGATTCCGACTCATAGTGACCCTGTAGGACAGAGTAGAACTGTCCCACAGGGTTTCCAAGGAGCACCTGGTGGATTCAAACTGCAGACCTTTTGGTTAGCAGCCATAGCTCTTGACCACTGTGCAACCAGGGCTCCATAACTAGTATAGTAGTTGTGGCTAAGGCTTAGAAACAATGAGGGATGGTACTAGAAATAAAGGTTTGTGGCACTGGGAATGACCCAGCGTAGAAAAATGAAACTCTGCAGAGTCTAAAGTTAACTGAGGCCACCTGGTGGTGGAAGTGTAGCTCTTCACGCAGGCCCTTAATTTAAAGAAATAATAACTAGTATAAAGAAATAATAACCAGTATGACAACAACAGCAAAAAAAACCCAAACCCATTGCTATGGAGTTGATTCTGACTCATAGCGCCCTATATGACCAGGTAAAACTGCCCCATAGGGTTTCCAAGGGGCAGCTGGTGGATTTGAACTGCTGACCTTTTGGTTAGCAGGTAAACTTCTTAACCACTTGCTCAGGGCTCCAGTAACTGGTATGGTAGTTTTTATTTCTTTAAATTAAGGGTCTGCATGCAGAGCTACTCTCCTACCACCAGGTGGCTTCAGTTAACTTTGGACTCTGCAGAGTGTTTCATTTTTCTACTCTGGACCGTTTCCCAGTGCTACAAACCTTTATTTCTAGTACCATCCCTCATTGCTTCTAAGGCTTACCCACAACTTTTCTGCGTGTGGATGTTTCTTGATTTTCTCTCTGCTGTTCCTTTTGGGCCTAGAGAAGGCAGGCGAATTTGACCTTTGACTCTTACAGGACTGTCACCTCCCTGAAGAGTCTGGGAGGAGAGGTTTGCTAATTCTTAATGGGAAGGAGCTCAGGCTAGAACAGTGTGTGCCATCATGGGTAAGGAACATCCGTGATAACCTTTTAAATGGGGCACAGATGGAAAATGTGTAGGTGTGTCTCATCATACCAACCTGGAGTTGCCACCACAGGTAGCAGACTTGCTACGAGAGGAGGCTTGTCTAGCTCCAGGGTGTACACTTGCCTAGCTTCTGTTCTGTGAGTGTCTGTCTTGTTGGTGCCAAATGAACTTCAGAAATGCTGCCACATGAAGGGTATGAACAGAAGAGGAGATGCAGATGGCTAACAAGCATGTGAAAGAAATATCCTGCCTCACTAGTAATTGAAGAAAAGGAATAGAACAAATAGGCAGAGCCTGGTTTACAGCACAGTGGTTACGGGCATGGACTGTGGAGTCAGGCTGCTCAGATACATATTGCTTCTCGAAGCTCCCTGGCTGCGTGGTGTGGACAATGACCTAGCTTCCCCAAGCCTCAGTTTCCTTCTGGGTAAAATGGGGGTGATGAGAATACTCTGTGCCTCACTGGTTTGTTTGTTGTGAGGATTCAGTCAGGTAATGTGTACATAGCCTAGTGTCTCTAGTAAGTACTTAGCCATCATCTTTACACCATTTTTATCTATACAGTCTGCAAAGAGTGACCAAACATAGTACTCAGTGTCGTGCAGTGTTTGGTGAATTGGGTATCCTCATAGCACGGATGGGAGTCTACATGGGTTTACCCTCTTTGGAAAGGAATGAAGCTGTTCTAAGGGCTTTCAAAATATTCATATTGTTTAAAGGAATACTCAGAAACGCATGCAAATACTTGCATTCATTGTAATTTTCACTGAGTAAAAAATTCACAGCAATCTATTCAATAACAAAAGAATGGTTAACTCAATTATGCCACCTCCCTACAATGGGCTTATCTTGCAGCCATTTGAGATTGACTTTGCAGAGAGAAGAATTGTTAAAAGAAGAATTGGGAAAATAAAAGATGAAAATCTGAAAAGAAATTTACTAAAATCTTGGTGATAATTATTGCTGTGTCTTCAGGTTAGGTGCGATTTTTCTTTTCTTATTAATATTTTTTACGTACTCACTTTCCCCCTAAAATAAACTGTATTAAAGATTAAGGGAAAAAACAAAATTTATTTTTTAGAAGGAACAACAGCAACAAAAAGAGTGAGAATATCTGCCACAGGGGGGCGTATGGGAGCCCTGTGACTCGTCTTTGACTTTTTCTTTCTTTCTTGTTCAGTGGTGTCAGCAAAGCCCAAGGTGCATAATCGTCAACCTCGAATTAACTCCTTTGTGGAAGTGGCAGTGGATGGGCTTCCCAGTGAGACCAAGAAGACTGGGAAACGAATTGGGAGCTCTGAGCTTCTCTGGAATGAGATTATCATTTTGTAAGAGAACGTCCCTTCTTTTTAAATGCAGTAATATTGGGGGGAAAGAGAGAAGGTACCCTGAGGGTGTTGTGGGAGGTACAGGTTTCCTGTAAAGCCTCAAACTCTTCTGCCTTTGGTACCTGAAGCACCTCTCTTTAGGTGTATCTACATCATTGAGCTCATAGAGCATTATTAGCTAGACAATTACAGGGTCAGCCTTGTGGGGGATAAATATGTGAGTGTCTTACTGTGTTTCCCCTCTCCCCAACATGTCAACAATATAGTTTGTTTTCATCTGCTTGGAAGTGATGAATCAACTGTTTGTTTTCCAGGAATGTCACGGCCCAGAGTCATTTAGATTTGAAGGTCTGGAGCTGCCATACCTTGAGAAATGAACTGCTAGGCACCGCCTCTGTCAACCTCTCCAATGTCCTGAAGAACAATGGGGGCAAAAGTATGTATGATGAAGGGCTGGTGGAGTGATTCATTTGTGGGGTGGGGAGAAGAATATGAAGGCGGACAGTTCTCTCAACCTGTCAGAGAAACCTGGTGATGCAGTTTTCTCCAGGACTGGGGGCTGCAATGGGCTCACTCGCCTTTGTTGCCCTCCGTGGAGTTGTAGGAAGGCTAAGAGCTCCTGTGCCTCTCCTGCAGGGTCAGCCCCCTTTGCCCAGGGGCTCTAGTGGTGGGATGCAGTGATGAGTCCCCCGTGATCCTTCCTCAGGTTCTTTCCCTGTGCCTCTGCCCTTATTCTCATTCCAGGAGCTATGTGATATGTACAATTAAACTGTCAGATGCCTTTGGCCTAAATCATTGCCTTTTTAGTTGGTGCCCCAGAACAGAACAAAGGAGCAGTGTGTGTGTGTGTGTGTGTGTGTGTGTGTGTGTGTGTGTGTGAGAGAGAGAGACTGTCGGGATGGTGTTAAAATAGCATTCTGTGCTTTACTGTAGGCATTCAATAAACATTTACTGGATGTTGGACTGATGGAAGCTCTGTCTCCATTATTCAGGGTGCCTTTGCTGCATGGAAATATAAATCCTCACATCTATTTATTGCTGTTTGTGGTCAGTGGCATAACCCATAGCTGTGGTATTTGGACCCTCCCTCATAAAGCCTCTATTCAGAGGAGCACCACCATATGTGGCAAGTGAATGCCACAGAAAGAAAGACTCCTTTTTCTCTTGATGTCTGCTGTCTAGAAAATACTTTCTGAAAGTGGATTTAGCTTGAGAGATGTTGGGGTAAGGGGGTGGGGGTGGGAGTATTTAGTCCCAGAGAGAGCAATGCATCAATTCAAGAGTCTTTTCTTCCTGCGCCTGCACTTTTCTGATGGGCCACTTGAATGGAGTTTGAGCCTCACCTGGTCTTTTCCTTTCTCTATCCCCCCCGTAGCCTCTGGAATTGTTTAAAACCAGAGATATACCTCTATTTTAATTCTACAGGGAACTCTCCCTGGTGTTCTTTCTTCTGAGTGGGTCTGTATTTTCCCAAACCTTAGCCTGTCTTTTGTAATTTGATTATTAAGGAGGATTTTATTTATTATTTGGAAATACAATGTAAAAATTCTAGTATTAGGACACAGCAGCCAACAGAAGTGTCCTTTTTCTTTCCTTCTTCATTTGTCCAGTCAACATATTTTTGCTTTTGATTACAAAATTGCGGCGAATTTGAAAATTGCAGAAAAGTACACAGAACCCAAAAGAAAATAAAATTCACTGTAAACGTAATGCCCTGGTGATAATTACTGTTAACATTTTGATGCACACCCTTGTGAGCTTTCTTCCTGTTTGCATATATATATTAATATTTAAGATATCAGTGAAATAAAATTAAGATCATACTTGAATATATTATTTTGCAACATGCTTTTTTCTTTTTTTAGTATTTTATTGATGAAAGTTTACATAGGAAATTAGGTTCTCATTTAACAATTTCTGTACATATTGTTCAGTGGCATTGGTTACATTTTTCACAATATATCAACATTCTAATTATTTCTATTCTGGTTGTTCTATTTCCCTTAATCTAGCTTCCCTGTCCTCCCATACCTTCTCATCTTTGATCTAGAGAAAATGTTTACCGTTTGGTTTCATTTAGATGATTATTTGGAGGAGGACAGTACTCACGAGTGATATTCTTTATTTTGTGGGTTAATCTGTCATTTGACTGAAAGGTGACTTCTGGGAGTGGTTTGAGTTCCACGTTTAAAGGAAGTCCCAGGACAATAATCTCGGGGAGTTCATCTAGTCTCTACTGATCCAGTAAGTCTGGCCTTTTTTTTAATTTTTTTTTTAGGAATTTGAGATTTGTTCTATATTTTTCTCCCCTTCTGTCTGGGACTATGCTTTTTTCTTTAAAATGTATCAACATATCTTTAATTATTCTTCTAAAATTCAATTCTTAATGACTGCATAGTAGTAGTTTATCGTATGGAAGTGTAAAAATTTAAGGTTTGAAAATTTGATTATTTTTAGTATTTCTCAGTCACAAGTAATGTAACTTGTAAGTTTATAAATCTCTGTGCCCATCACTGAAAATTTCCTTGGGATAAATTATTGAACATGGACTTGCTGATTTTAAACATTGTCAAGGTTTTTGGCACCCTCAGGAAAAGTTCTACCAATTTATCCTCCAGTCATCAGTGGCCTGTCACATCACACACTGGCATATATTGAATATTATTTGTAAAAAAAATTTTTTTTGCCAGTTTATTAATTATTAACGATATGCCAGATTTGCTTCATGTTTTTTTTTCTGAAGCATTTAAAATTACAGATGCCCAACATTTTAACCTAGGTTATTCAGTATACATTTCATTTAAAAAAAGGACAAATCTTGCATAATTACCATAACATTATCACACCTAGCAAAATTAGCACAAATTCCTTATTATTATTTAACACTTAGTTCACATTCAGTTTCACGTTTTGTCTCAAAAATGTCATTTTCCAGTTGGTTTGCTTAAAACAGGATTCAAAGTCCACACATAGCATTTGATTATTATGTCTCTGAAATCTCCCCACCTCCACCCTATCTTTTTTTATGCTGTGACTTGTTGAAGGAGATTGAATGCTTTTAAAATGCTCTGTCAATGTCCTTTAAGGAGCCCTGGTGGCACAGTGGTTAAAGTGCTTGGCAGCTAACTGAAAGGTCGTCAGTTTGAACCCACTAGCTGCTCTGTGAGAGAGAGATGTGGCAGTCTGCTTCTGTAAAGATTTACAGCCTTGGAAATCCTATGGGGGCAGTTCTACTCTATCCTATAGGATCTATGAGTTGGAATTGACTTGATGGCAACGGGTTATTAGTGTCCTTTGCTAAATTTTATATTGAAGTAATGCATTTTCTCCTCTGGTTTTGAAAGAACTTTTTATACTTTAAGCATTATAATTTATAATTTATAAATATTTTTCTAGTTTTTTATTTGCATTTTAATTTTGTGGCCTTTTTCCCCTTTTTTTCCCTACATAGATGTTTTAAGCTGTTTGTAGTCAAATCTGTCACCCTGTCTATTTTCAGCCTTTTCTTTTATGCTTTGAAAGGCATTTCTCATTCTGAGATCAGTTAAATAGTTCATCATCTCTATATTTTTCTAGTTCTTTGTGATTTTTTTTTTCGCATTTAGTTCTTTAATCAAACAAATTCATTTTTGTGTATAGTGTGAGTAGGGATCTAATTTAATTTCTTCCCAAATAGTTAACTGATCACTTCAGCACTGTTTATTGAGTAATCCATCTATTTCCCAGTGCTTTGAGTTGCTACATTAAAAACATTAGTATACTTGTTTCTGTTTGGGGATTTTGCACTTCATCTGTTGTTTTATTCTCCTTTTGAGATCATTATGTTTTAGGTACTATATCTTTATAATATGTTTTAATATTTGACAGTACAAATTTATCTTCTTTTTAAAATCTTCTTGTTTATTCTGTTTGCTTATGCCATCTATGAACTTTCAATTATTTCGTCAGGTTCTCCCCACTCCCCTTAAGGAGGGAGAAGATCCTTTGGGATTTAGATTATGATCCTGTCATAAAAACCAAAAAAACCCACTGCTGTCGAGTTGATTCCGACTCATAGGCTGTAAATCTTTACGGAAGCAGACTGCCACATCTTTGAGTGGCTGGTGGGTTCGAACCACTGACCTTTCGATTAGCAGCGGAGCACTTAACCACTGCACCACCAGGGCTCCTTATAATCCTATTGTTGTTGTTGTTGTTATTGTTGTTAGGTGCCATTGAGTCGGTTCCAACTCATAGCAACCCTGTGTAAAAGGGAACGAAACACTGTCCAGTCTTGCGCCATCCTCACAATTGTTGCTATGCTTGAGCCCATTATTGCAGCCACAGTGTCAATCTGTCTCGTCGAGGGTCTTCCTCTTTTTCGCTGACACTCTACTTTGCCAAGCATGATGTCCTTCTCCAGGGACTCGTCCCCCCTGATAACATGTCCAAAGTTTGTGAGATGAAGTCTCGCCATCCTTGCTTCTAATGAGCGTTCTGGCTGTACTTCTTCCAAGACAGTTTGTTCATTCTTTTGGCAGTCCTATATTTGGAAACCCTGGTGGTGTAGTGATTAAGAGCTACGTCTTCTAACCAAAAGGTCGGCAGTTCGAATCCACCAGGCGCTCCTTGGAAACTCTGTGGGCCAGTTCTACTCTGTCCTATAGGGTTGCTATGAGTCAGAATCAACTTGATGGCAATGAGTTTGGTTTTTTTTGGATTTTTATGGTTTATTCAGTACTCTTCATCAACACCACAATTCAAAGGCATCAGTTTTTCTTTGATCTTCTTTATTCATTGTCCATCTTTTACATGCATATAAGACGATTGAAAACACATGGTGTGGGTCAAGCCCACCTAAGTCCATAAAGTGACATCTTTGCTTTTTAACACTTTTGAAGAGGACTTTTACAGCACATTTGCCCAGTGCAATGCATTGTTTTATAGGTAAAGTTAATTTATGGAGAATTTCCATACTGAACCTTCATGCCTAGGATCATGAAATGTCGCTAAATTCATTCAAATATTTCGAAGTTAAGTTTATACAGACTTTATTTTAATTTTTAAAGTAGTTTTGGTAATATTTTTAGTGAGATTTTTTCCTGTTATCTTTTCTAACTCTTGGTATTGTTGGTCTTTGTTTTAGTTGGTCTGTGTTTTATTCAGATTACTTTAGTATAGGAACATTGGTATAGTTTTTCAAGTTTTGTCTAGGTTTTCTTCATAGACATGTATGTAGTTTCTAAGACTGATAATTTTGCTCATCATTATTATACTTCTTGTTGGTTGCTTTATATTCAACTTTCTGCTTTAGTGGTGATGGAGCACTAATAATGATGCCTCTAGTGACTCATCTCTAGGTATAAGGTTGGTATTAGTAGCCTGTCTTCTTAGTTTATTAATAGTTTTTTTTTTTTTTAAATCAGGAAGGGTATTGAATTTTTATCAGAAGACTTT